CATCACAGAAACCATACAATAGTTGGAAAAATTAGGGATCTTGAAAAACCCAGGTATCATAGGCATTTCAGAGTAAAACACTGTCAACAGCTATGACAAATAGAGCAACACTGTTTGACTCAAGTTACACCAAAGCTAAATCTCACTATATGCACACCTGATCCAGGAAATTATAGTGGCTCTTCACATTTTCCATGATTTAATTGTGTGTTTTGGAACATGTTGAAAAGAAAAAGACACTATAAAAGCCACTAAAGAAAGTGTGCAATGTGTCTAGTTTGTTCCAGCTTGGCTATACTCACTCAAATGTTTCTCAGCCTGAACTGCAAGGGCTGAAGATAAATCTCTCTTTCTGTAAAAACACTGAACTTTAGCTTCAACTTGCCCATTGCTTGTCTGGAAGAAAAAGAAGAAAGTTACTCTAAGCCCATAACCAAATTTAGTAATTAACATATTTATGAATAAATGTTCAGAGCCACCTTAAATTTTTACCTTGGTCAACTCCTCAATTCTTCGTATTTGATACGGTAACGCAGGATTGGTTTCAACGTAAACATAATCTGTGTTGAAGTAGAAGTTAATTAACGCAATACATCAGTTTAAAATCGTCAGATATCATCAGAAATACGGTTTGCTACCAAAAAAACGCACATGGTCGCAACGACAGCCGCTAAGCAGGTAACCGCGCGCACCAAATCAACAGACCTGAAACTATCATTTGTGAAGTTTTTTTCGGTTTTCCTTTCGTCGTTTTAAAATCAAATCACAATCATCGAGACAACCTTCAATTTATGGCTACAACAAATCAATTCCACGAGACTTCCCTCGGGTTTTCTAGTAAAGAATGGCAGTAGTGAAGTCCCCGATAACATTCGTACACCGTACGGAGGTTTTTGTTCATTCTCCCGGCATACGGATAAAATAACGCAATCGTCCGCGCGTAAAAAATCCACACCAACATCAAATAAATATATTTACTTCCTTTTTAAGTATACTCGAGAAATAAAGCATTCGCAAGGCAAGGAAAGACATGCCATTAAATGCGATTTCCTCAAGGGGGGAAAATGAAGCTTTTCAGTGAAAAATTCTCCGAAGTTTCTAGTGTGATCACTCACCTCCAACCCGGAAAACATTTGATGCGTTCGCCATGATTCACTAATGGCGGGAGTTTCTTATTTGAAACTTTGATCTGTAAGAATTACGAATGTCAAGTTTTTCATGGAGACTGTGCACTATTCCACCGAAAACGTCATTCACCACACACGAACGCAGCCATTATTGTTCGCCTCAAAGCGAACCACGCGTCTTTTGACGTCACGAACGGAACGTATACTGTCACGAAGATACAAGAGAGAACAGGTGCGCAGACTCGCCTAAAATCGGGCCAATTCGGAATTTTTCGGATTGTTTAGAATGACGTAAGTGTGATTGACAGCTTGTTTGTATGTTTACCGGTTGTAGTTGTAGCTGACACACACCCAAGCGTCCTCGATTTTCATTGGTTCGCGTTCGGCCATAACGCAAATTGCATTCGTGTTGGTCACGAATTTGAATAGCCGTAATTGCGCTTATGTTTTCGCTAAAGCGATTCTTTGTTATACGCAATTACGCCTACCGAAACGTGTTTTGCTGCATGTCAAGGCCTTTCCGGAAAATTGTAATCGATTTTTGCTTGAAAGCTATCTAATTTTTAAGAGATTTATTCCAAGAAGTTCCCTTCTAAGTTTTGGTTGTTAAAATCAGTGACAGGCACCATAGTAGTTTCACGATGTTGTAATCCTATGAACTAGATGTACGCCACAATACTCTCTTTGAAACGCTATTCAAATGAATTGCACTCAATTCAAAATTTTCGTGATATATTTGCTTCAAATTTCGCTTCAATCTCGATTGCCGAACTCTCGTCCTGACGTCATATTATAGTCTGCGCAGCCTCAACTGAAGTGTGTGGAATAAACCGGTTTATCCAGTTTGGTGAAAGTGCATGTTGCTTGTTGTGACATATCGGCAGGCGGAGCCAACACTTTGATGATTGATTGGCACGACTCGCACATCTCAAATTACAAAAGGACAAAGACGGATATTAAATTTTGGACCAGTGGACTCGCGAATCGAGAACTAGACATTATTTACAGCGCATTACAATGATAAAGCCGCAGGCATAATAGCCGCATCGATTCAGAGTACTAAGTATCATGAACTTTTTCTGGAAACAGTTCTTTTTTTTTTTTTAAGACTTACAATGTTGACTTGGCGATCAGTTTGCATTACCCAACAATTTGAACCCCTGACATAACTTTTCTCGAAAGGATTCTGTTCAGAGGATATTCGGTGTGCAAACAACAACATTAAATGAAAGATTCAAAATTTGTCAGTTTTGAATTGAACCGGTATGCCAGGAGGCAAGGAACTTGATTTTATAAGTTGTATAAAACACACAGGTGCCAGACAATTGAACACATTAGGGCTGACGTTTCGGTCACGATAAGCAGATCCAAGGAGACAATCTTGCTTTCATTTTACTTCATGAAAGCGACCTGAAAGAATAAATTTAAATTATCAATTGTCAAGACGCTCAAGTCAGCGCGAGTTGGTCATCAGGAAGATGAGCCGCGTAACCCTGAAGACAAGCAATGATTGATAATACTCAAAATTTTATCAACCGCTTCTTGCGCCAAACAAACAAGTTTTACCCGATGCTTAGCAACTTGCTAATCAATTCAAGCGACCTTGAACTTATTTGGGTTTAACGGAGCAACCTTAAGTTCTAGTCGGTCGTTGAAGGGAAAGCGATAGGATCGTCGACAATATAATGATATTGTCATCTCTTTATTCAACTAGGGAGTTTCATTCTCTAAATGTTATCGTACTTTTTCAGATTCGCGCAAACATGTTATTGGCTTTTCGCCAGAAGGCAGTTCTCGATACTGACTACGTTCCGGTTGAATGAGTCCACAATCGTTACCGTTCAATAATTAAATTCAGTGCTCAAATAAACGAATTAGTCTCGTTTTGGCTATAAAGGAGACCGTTCGAAAACTTTGAAACATCTTTTACATTCAATAAGGCTTGGAAAGCGAATAAATGACTCAATTTAACCAGATTTAACAGATTTTCTCTTGACATCTCTCTATTTGTTGTTGACCGGTCTTTGAACTTGGAAAGGCATCATGGGTATATTACTCTGCAACAAAGACATGATCTGCTCACGTGTAATTTACATGATAAGACAATATTCGTGCAACATCTGGCGCGTGAAAGTGATAACTTCGTTTGACTGATTTGTGATTGGTTTCTGCTGACAGCATAGACCCTCGAGTGTCGGAAGAGCTTAAAGATCATTTAAGAGATATATCTGACACAGTATTTATATTCAATTTTCCTCTCGAAGAATTATTTTACTCCCGAGATTACACAGAGAACTGCATCAACAAAATGATTGTAATACGTACAATACTAACCCAGCAGTATCGTCAGTAATAAATTTGATAATATAGTAGTAGAGGTAGTAGTAGTTGTAGTAGTA